ACCGCTTACCTAGGAGGGCCTTGTTCAGTCTACCAGGTGTTGGATGGCGCAAGTCTCGAGGTGGACAGAAGTTGACTTGTCAGCGGCAAATGAAGTCACTGACGACGAAACTGGGTGCCGTTGGTCCGTTTCGGCTTCCGGGTTGGAGTCCACGTGACTCGCCTTGTGCTTGGCTGGAGACTTTACAGGACATGACTTGCAGTAGACACCAGTGGCGCGTCTGCTGCCGTCTCCTAATCGGATTGCCTGTTTAAAGTATGTTTTGTGCTGAGTTATCTGCGGAGTAATAGCTGATTATGACGCGAAGCAGTGGAAGCCGCAAGGAAGCTGTCTCGTTGATGCCGCTTTATCTTTGCACAATAGCTAGCTGTTTGTGACGGTATGTTGTTAACACAAGGTGTTGGCGCCTTGACCATGAATGTTTGTTTAGGACACTAATGTTTTCAGGTAAGTCCCCCTTCTCTCACTCTTCTTATTCTTTATTGCATAGGTCCTCATGGTTGTATGGCAGCGAAACATCCGTTCAAATGGCTGATGTACTGCTGTTGATGATGCCTTTGACTGCTTTGAACAGTTAAGGTCACTTTGAATGAGCACACTAAGGTAGCTTTCTTGGGAAGTAGTTTGCAGTGCATGTGAAGTAAGCCCATACACGTAGTCATGTGTATGACGCATTTGAACAACGTGACATTTTTCCACATTGAACGGCAGGGGATTCAAAATTGACCAGGTTGAAATCGTGTCAAGGTCAAGCTGGAGGTTATCGTGGTTCTTTATTCGCTCGCCATAACTTGATATCATCCGCGAAGAGTAGGAAATCGGAAGTAATTTCCCTCGCCAAATCGTTTATGAAAATCAAGAATAGACGAGGCCCGAGCACCGAGCCATGTGGTGCGCCGCACTCCACCTCAATTGCGTCGGACAGTGGTTCTCGTACTCTCACTTCCAACCGACGTTCGTGAAGGAAATTGTCTATCCAACGCAGCAGTGGGTCACCGACGTCATAGTGGTGTAGTTTATGGAGGAGAATTCGGTGGTCTATGCGATCAAACGCTTCTGAGAAGTCCAGGAAAATGACATCAACTCCTGCTCCACCATCAACTGCTTTAGTCCAGCTATTGCAAGAAAGTAACAAGTTCTTGGTGCATGAGCGGTTTTGTCGGAATCCATGTTGCTCTGGTGCTATCATCTTGTGATTTTCTAGGTATTGCATGAGTGCATCAGCGATGATAGACTGCATAAGCTTGGAAAGCACAGGGAGTAGCGTTATGGGACGGTAATTGGTTGGGTCAGTGCGACTATCTCCTTTATGAATAGGAGTGTTGACTTTTCGCTTCCATATTGTTGAAATTTTGTTCTCCTCCATACAGTGCTGGCAGAATATAGCCAGAGGCTCTGCCAGATCACTGGCTGCTGCCTGTAAAGCCTTCGGTCAATTGTTTTCGACAATGGTACAATGGAACAATGGTATATGACGGGTAAAAATGCATACACTTAACGAGTCCCGCAGGTTGGCAATAGAAATACTAACAGATTGGCAAACCACATAAGTGGTTGAAGTAAGGAGCGTCAGTGAGGTAAAATGTAGAAGTATAACAGTTTTAGGGGGATAAAGTGGTACGACGCAAAACTGGCTAAGAAATTGTTATCGTTGGTGATGGTAGCAAATAAAAATGGAGTATTCACCGGTTCGCACAGATTTACGACCGTGAATTTGGGGTATAAATCCAAAGAGGCTGGTCAGCCTAAATATATACAAGCGTTTTCGTTCATAAAACAAAGCGCAGGGGGCTCAGTGCGACGTCCAATCGTTTTTTAAACATATCTAATGTGGGGGTACAAATAACTGAGTTTGGAAGGGCGTTCCAGTGCCCGCAGACCCGGAGGGAGAAATAGGTTCTCCGACAGTCTAGACGACTGTACTGTTGGCTCAGCTCTAAACTGTTACCGCGAAGGTTAGTGTTCGGGCTGAGCTTCAAGAGGTGGCGGCATAAGTGACTGGGATCGCTCAATATCTGGTACACTAGTATGAGGTCTCCACGAAGTCGCCGGTACCGTCCGCTGAACACTCCGAGTATCTCCAGTCGTTCCTGGTAAGGAGTGTGGCGCAAGCCCTTGACGATTTTCGTTGCTCGACGCTGTGGGGTCTCAAGCGCTGCAAGGTCACATCAGGAGAGCTATGGATACGCAGTTTCTTTGACATACTTTCTGCGGCAAAAGTAATATTGGATAAAGCTGATGGTGGGACAGTAGAAACAGGGATAACCGTTGGGCCTGTTACTCTCTGAAACGTTTATGAGTAATGGAACCGTAAAGATCTGCTGCTCCCGTTGCTGATCGCGTTCAAGTTTTAGTCGTAACCAGTGTTGGAATTCCACGTTGCACCTTGCGAAGGACAGTAACATGCCTGTATAAGTGTTTGCGGCTCGTGTAGAATCACTTCAATTATTTTTGCTGATGCGTCAGCTTGTCCTCGAGGAGCAAACTCACACAGATGTTACGCTGTGCCACGTAGGCAGTCCAGGTTTCGGAATCCGGGGTCCTTGTGAGCTCTGCATGCTAAATCCCTTAAAGACATGTATTTGCGTCTTCTGCTCCTCAAGAAAGAACTACTCCTTTGACGATGGAAGAAGTTCTGCTCAGACGCGTGCGTTACCATTATAGTGAATGTCCTTGTAAAACTGTCCAGGCGATTTCCGGGGGCATGCAGTTAAGACGGTCCAAGCTACCTCCGTAAAAGCGCGGATAGCAGGTTGTAGTGCGTTACCGTATATAATTTATCACCCTCTTCCTTGGGATATTCCGCATAACATACATAGCTAAACATCAGAGTCATATGGTCACTGCGAACCAGTGGTGTGCTTGTAATTCATCCGTTCACCATGAATTCTTCGTTGGCGAGCACAAGATAAAGTATCGACCGCTTGTTGGCAGTTCGAAATCTGGTGGGAGTTTTCACGTGGTTGTAGAGAGGGTAGCTGTTGCGGGTCCGTCAAAAATCCCCGCAAAAACGCGCCAGGAACTCCGGCAGAATGGCTGTGGAAAGCGAGGTCCAATTCCTCCCCACAACGCAGCAGAGCTCAGCCACTCCGAGACGCGGCCCAAACTGCACACCTTCTGACAATGGTCATTTACAAACTACCCCCTCTTCGTGGTGACAGTTTTCCTTAACTTAATAACCCATAGCACTGTCTGTGATCGCCCTTTGTCGGTCGTAAAAGAGCCTACAGAGGACCACTGGCCTTTCTTTCTCTTCGCCTCAGTTGGGAGTCGGTCGGGTCACGTAATTGCGTGTGAGTCGTTAGCTGGCCATCCTTCGCGTCTAAGCCATTTGCGCGCGTCTATCGTACCCCCATCTGGTGTGCATCCGTTCCGAGGGGTCAGCGTCTATCCGAACACTTGCGGCTGGGATCGGTCACACGCTCGCTCAATTTTCCGTCTCACCCGGCTAAGCTAGCGTCCTCAGGTCCTCGCAACTCCGTTCGATTGGCCAGCGTTACAAGCAATTATCGTAGGCGTGCTCCAATCGGGCAAGCGACAATCTTATCAGGCGTTACGCAATCCATATCGAGAGGCGGCGTTCCCTCAATTATAACAGTGGCGACTCAATTATAACAGTGGCGACGCAATTATGTCGCACGCTCGACGTCGGTTGCCGTAGGCGAGTGTGCATGACAAGGACACAGGTACACGGAGTTTAGCTAGCTTATTGATCCACACGGGTTTCTGTAGGACAAAGCAGTTGGAAGTGATTTGTAGTGGGTGGCTGACAGCGGAAAGTGCCGGCGATCGGCGAATGCAATTTAAACCACAGATTGAGTCGTAGCTTCGTTAGAAATGATCCTAGGGATGTAATCTTAGGACCACCAGATAGTGCGGAGAACACTTGATCGATTACAGTATCTTAGTAGTAAAAAAGATTAGAAACAGCAAGGTGGCGCATCTGGATAGAAGCACGAAGCGCGCTAAAACAACATGTGTGGCACAAATCATTTTCCGTAGGAAATCTTTCCGTAAAAATATCCCCACTGATCACGGGGAGTTATTCCGATTCGAATGAGTGTATGATGACTGCGCTAGGTGAAGAGGAAGACGTAAAACTGTGACAGCGGAGAGCACGTTTACTATGCGTCCAGTTCAGATTGATCATGCACGTATGTTTACTGGAGTAGAGCCTACATGAAGGGGCTGCAACGAAAGCCGAAGACGCAGGAGTGTGAATTACAATTCATGAAGCTGAATGACTTTACTGACAATTTATGAGTAGTTCGCTTTTCGTTAACATTTCAACACGTCACGCATCATCGTCATGATAATTTTGCGCATCGACAGACGTTGGATTGTAACAGATAATTATCCGAATGAAGTAACTGGCATTCGCATTCGTTTATAGGTTTATATTTTTGTTCATACAACATTTCCGCCCTTTAACCATAACCTGAGCCTAAGTATCCAGTCCTTTGTTTTACTGCGCATCGTTTAATGAACCTCCGTTACTACCGCTGTTCGAAGTTGACTGGATTTATTTTACATCCGTTTGGAGTTTATTCTTCTACTAGTAAGTCATCTCCGTATCTTTGATTTAAATGCTTGTAGAACCAAGGTTTATTCAGTACAACTTATTCCACCAAGCGTCCTCCTATTTTACCGACCAAACCGTGCGTACATTTGGTGATTAAGCTTATCAGTTGGCAGTACTGGTCGTAGCTACAAGTATCGACCACTAGTGTCGGTTGAGCTAAGTCGGAAACGAGCGCTTCTGGGTATAAGGAGCTTCAAACCGAAAGCGAAATACATTGAAAGTCTATGCTAAATTGCCGTAGGATAATTGTGAGTCATTCACTGTCCCAATGTCATGGGGAACGGTAACAGCATACCAGGAATATGTAAGCAGAAAAGAATTAGATGACTTTCGAAGAAGTACGATTGATAAGAGTTGATAACCCGAAATATGCACTTTAAAATGTTTTCCAATCGCACCTTTTCTGTATTTTCTTTAGTTCGGAGCTATCCTGATCAAACCGGAAAACCCACAACGATTCGACAACGTCCACCTAGATGTGCCCGAAGATGATCCTGACCAAGTAGAAAATTTTCGGAGTAAACTGATAGAAAGCATACCTCTAATCGCCGTGAAAATCTTTTAACATGCGTGCATGCCTGCACATGTGTTCTTATTGACAGACTCCAAAACGGAAGAACTGTGTGATGGGAGTCAACGCAGCCACGATGACGTAAATGGAGAAACACCATCATGTACATCATTGACGCATTCCTAAGAAATACATGGTTATATCATTATTAATACCTATGTGTTTGTGTTGTAAAGAAGCAATCTTGCCTCTGTGTTCGATGCTTTTCCAAGATCTCGGTTTTTGACCGCAGTTGCTGTGGAAGGACACCGACCAAGCTGATCGGCCTTAAGGTTTACTTCATGTTGTGTGCTGTTTGAAAGACAACGAACGTTCACAGGCTCACACAATGCATTCCGCTGAAGAAGGTTCTTTGGCTGATAAGAATTGCGTGATTAATACTTAACTAAGGCCAACGCATCAAGTATATCCGTTAAACCGCCTACTTTGACATGGTCATGTCCACCGCATACCCGTTGACTGGCATCCTCGGTGTGCATCATACGCTGTCGCTGCAGAAAGTTGGGCGAAACTGCGAAGATCCACTCACTGACGTGACATAAAAATATGATGAAACTGAAAGAACGATTATCAGACCGGTGAATGTCATCACCGGGGACATGGGCCTCGAGATGAGTCATATCAGTAACATGAAGTCCTATCGGACATGGTACAGTCACCCACTAGCATTACGTTTCATGCATTTATCTGCCATTATCTCGTCACGGTTAGGTTTAACTATTATTTTCCTAACTCTCTCATCCAGGTGTACTATCTGTGTGTTGCTTCATTTTTCGCAGTAGTTATTTTAACGCATTTAAATAGCCTGGACGCGTTAGCTTAGACGACAGTTACGACGCAAACTGAGCACGGACCCGAGTCACACACGCATTCGGATGGCACGCTAAGTCCCCGCAAACGAACAACGACACGCACACGACCGGGGAACATAGACGACCATGGTTTAGACGAACGCGGAACACGCGACTACAAATTATCCCGATTGATTGCATCCATGGTGCAATTGAACTGCTCCCTAAGGCACTGCTTTGCATCCGCAAGCCAATTGAATATCATGTTTAACGCATTTAAATTGCATCCAGTATCATTTCGACGCACGAAGCACGCACAATGACCTTGGAAATGAGCTAGTCCAAAGCAGCCAATTACGGTAGATGTAATAACCCTTGCATCCATGTATGAGTTGGTGGTGTGTGCTGGGGACACTTGGGTGTTCTAGCCTTTATCCAGCAACGGTGCCTAATGTGAAGCTACTTCACGCAGCTTATGGACACAAGGTTGTCCAAACACGTGGTGCGACTGGGTGGAGGATTCAGTGTGCGTAAGTAGACTACCAGGTATGTAAAGCATGCCTTGCGAACGCACAAGTTGGGGGTGCACGATGCGAACAACGTAATGCGACACCCCATTAGCGATCTTAATGCTAGTTTGGCACTGGCGCAGCCCAAGCTTTTGACGACCTACCAAAGCTCGGGCATACGATGGTACTGTATCCGGATGGCGAGGCATTCACAGGTGCATGGCTGCGTATGACGGAGGTGGTGTGACGGGCTTGCCAGTGGATCGACAAAACAGGCCTGCGCAACTGAAATACATGTTGGAAGGTGGTCGCCTTGGATTATAGAGAGTCGCCTTGAGCGGTGGTCTACTAAGAGGGCTAGTGCCTAAATATAACTGTGGCCACTTGTGACAAGGCGAGTAGGTCTTGCTATGTTACAGCAGACGTCGCTTACCCTCATGGTGGATGCAGTACAAAGGCTTGATGATCCCTAAATCAAACGAGGTACTGCGACCGGGCTGTCGGAATTTCGCATCGACTGATTTGTACGCACATGCATGGGCAGACTGGTGCGGACCGAACGTAAGCGCAACTGATACGCAAGTCGGTGCGCATCAACTGCATTCGTATCCAGTACCCAGTTTAGTGATATGTTCACACATGGGAGTTACTCCATCGTTGCTCGGCATCTTTGTCTGTCCATTTCACCGTCTCTACTCCAGCAAAAGTACTTGGCCGACACAGCATATAGGCGAGCAACACCTCAGTTTCTTCCTACGGTAGTTGTACCTGAAAACCTACAATTCCGCTAGGTCGGCTGGCTAACCGAACAATCTCCTCGTGGTGCCAGCTGGGTGGTTCGGGTTTACCCCGTTCCAGCAAATAACTCGGTGGCAATGTTCCAGGACGTGGTGGATATACGTCTGGCAAGCGCTCTCCCTATAAAAAGCCACAAATGTCTACTTAACAACTTTGTGACGTGGCGGTCATGACTCCACACCAAATAAAGTCACCATCTCGTGGATATCCGGATAATCTTTTGTTGCGCCCTCAGCCAATGTTCAGTGTCGCCTCTACCGACTGCGAATGTACACGCGTGTGTGTGTGTCCATCAATAAGTGTGTGTTTCGTCGTTCCTCTCAATGGGATCATTGGCCAAGTCCCTCCCTGTATGATCGAACACTGGACTCAGCACTCACATTACTTGCTTGTTTGATGTTTGCTCCCATACGTTCCTTGTATGCATCTTGCTTACGATATACTTTCATTGCCCTGTCGTTGTTCTGATTTACTTGGGTGCAACAAATTGAGGATGGAGGTTATTTGGATCACTTATGGCAACTTCAACCCTTCGCCTCAGCCGCTTTATAATTCTTCTGCGGACATGCCCACGACACAGCAATAGACGCAGTGGAAGACAACTTTCACTAATTGCGTGGATTTACTTATGCTCTTTGGCAATAACAATACGATTGACGAGGCCTTAAAAATTAAATTACTGCGTCACCACCTCGGTAACGAAGGGCAGCGACATTCGGATAGTTTGCAGCTACACACGAAACATGACTTAAACTGTGCTGTACTCATTTGACCGACTGTGGGGAGAAAAACCATACGTGTTCACAGCCCCGTAAAAATTTAACACCATGAGGTAACAACCGAGTAAAACTGGGAATGAATTTAGTTCTCGACTCCTTACTAACCTTCCTGATTGCGCCTATGACCAGATCAGGCCAACGCACTTCGAGGAAGCAATGCTTTTACAAGCATTGATCGTTGGTGTACTTGACGACAAAGCAGGCGAGCGTCTTTGGTCAGAAAACGAAAATACCCTTACTTGGGAAATAGCTTGTGATATAGTTCGGCAACGTGCTAATCTCCTTCAGGAACTAAAGGCATTCTCCTTTACCGAGTAGATAATTTCACAGGAGGCAAACAGATTCGCTCAAAGCGTGATCATACATTGTCTCAATCCGTACAGCGTAGAAAATCCCGTCGTTAATGCTGTGGTGAGCAGCATTCTGATACGGCAGATTACAAGCATCTTCACTCATTATGTAGGTTTTGTGGGAAAGGAGGACATATTCATAAAGTTTGTCTTTCCAAACGAAATTTCGGTGTGCTGGGAAGTTCAAACTGCGAATCACATTACTGAGGATTCAAACCAGAACTGGATAAACACCACAACAGCTATTAATCACATAACAGTGGAGAAACCGTTCGTTGTGTCTATCCAGGTAAACGAACAACCAGTTGATTTCGAAATTGATACGGGTACTGCAGTTACGCTGATACGACCCGATGCCAAGTCGCAACTAACAAAACTAGATCTCCTTACAATACAACTACGATCAAACACCAGACAGTTGGTGAATGTGTTGGGTACCTTTGTTGCACGTATCACCTACCGCCATTCGAAGGATCGAATCCGTGTGTACGTTTCTGGGGGACCAGGTCCAAACATACTTGATCGCGATGGCATTAAACGACTTCCGAGCATCATGTCAAACGTCGACACGGTTGAAGCTTGCCTACAACCATCTGGGATTTTGCAAATACATGCAACTCTCTCTGATCAAACTGAGCCAGGCCTGCTGAAGAATTACTCTGGCCGATTGATATTGAAACCACAAGCAACACCGAGATTCTGGAAGGCGCGCACCGTACCTATGCGCTTCGAGACAAGGTCGAGACTGATATGCGCTGACTGCTAGAAGAGGGCACAAGTGAACCCGTCCAGTATTCCGATTTGGTTGCTCCTAGAGTGCCTGTATTGAAAAACGATGGTACTGTAAGGCTCTGTGGGGACAACAAAGTTACAAACAACCAAGCACCAGAGCCAGATGGATATCTGCTGCCTAAAATTGAAGATATTTACGCCCCTCTCTCTTGTGGAGAACTTTTTACCAAACCGAATCTGAGCCACGCCTACGAGCAGAGTGAACTCGACAAGAATTCACGTGCTTTCACCACTATCAACATACATTTTGCGTCATTTAGCTACATACGCATGCCGTTCGGAATAAGCTCTGCACCGTCCATATTTCAATGAATTATCGATTCACTAGTGAAAGGCATACCAAATACATTTGCCTATCTGGGTGACATCCTAGTTACCGGGCGCACAATTGCTGAACATCTGCACACCCTGGATGTAGTTCTAAAAAGCTTACTAGACTCCGAGCTGATACTGAAGAAAGAAAAGTGTGAATTTCTTGTACCGAGTGTGCAATACCCGGGATACCAACTCTCGCGCGAGGGGTTATATACGCTAGAGGAGAAAACCAGGACACTCCTTAAAGCCCAAGCGCCCAAAAATGTAAACGAACAAGGCTCCTTTCTAGGACTAGTCACTAGGTTCTCAAGGTTCATACCAGCAGCATCAACTCAATTACATGCGCTTCAACAAATTTTACGCAAGGATCAGCCGTGGAAATGGAACGCTGTCCACGATAATACTTTCAACGCAGTAAAGAAACTTCTGGCGTCAGTTGAGTTCCTTGTACATTACGAGTCACGGAAATCTATTGTTCTCACTTGTTATGCTTCTCCTTACGGCCTTTGGGGCGTTTTGCTACATAAATTACCTCATGGTTCGCAGCGACCTGTTGCCTACGCTTCACGAACCTTAATCGCAGCCTAAAGGAACTACTCTCAGCCGCTGTCATCTTGGGGATAAACCGATTCCATAATTAATTGCTCGGCCAACATTGCGTGATTCACACAGGCCATAGACCCCTTAGCTCGCTTCTTGGGCACGAAAAAGGAATTCAACAAATGGCCTCCCCCAAAATGATCCGGTGGTCCCTCATTCTATCTGCTTACACATACCAGATTCACTATATTCCGGGCAGACAGAATACCGCCGTTGAT